ACAGTAGCCCTCTAATACGACTAAATCCCCCCTTGTAGAGTGCGTAGCAGAGAAGATCTGTTAGCTGACTTGGCTACGCATGGAAAGGGCACAATGATTGAGGTTCATATCTTCTTATAAGTTGGCGTTTTACGCAAAGTCTGTATCGCCTTAATGACCAGGTTGTGACTTCGTATGATGAGCTCGCCGTGGGCCAAGATGGTCGTTTGCTGATCCCTTGCAATGTCGATGTTCCCTCATTTTGTGCGTTTTTAAAAGACTCCGCCGAAACTTCTCGTTCTATGAATAGGACTATGCTTCAGAAATTGGTTGGTTTCCTACATGTTCATTATAGACAGGTTATTTGAATGTCTGGAACTTGTCTATTTTACCTCTCTTTTTATATTCGATCACTTTTGGGTTTCGAACCCGCGATTACCGTAAGACATTGCTATTGTTTTTGGACAAAGATTTTCAAAAGTTTCATAGAAAGCAAATGGTCCTAATTATTCTAGCTTATAATCTTAAACGTCGTTTCTTTTCTTCTTGATTGAGTTCAAAAGCTGGTTGCAAAAGTTTCTGTCAAGGACCTGAAAGTTTCGAAATAGTTAAATGGAATTTCCAGACGGAGCTTGAGATAGATTGCTTGGATTGCCAACGTCAGCTTGGCCTATTGTCCCTCGAATGGGACCAGGGACTCCGCCTTGACGAAGTGCTTGAATGTGTACGACGGCTTCGCAATATTGATGGGGAAGGGAGGAAAAATCTTCGTGGATTAGGTTTAAAACTCTCGTTGAATCCAAACGTTTTTGTGATGAATGACGGTCGCATATCCATTCCTCTGAATTGGATTTGACAAAATATTTTGCCTTGTAAAGTGTCTTTGTACAGCTTTGGCCTTGTTACATAAATCTTTGTAAATACATTCATTTCGATCTTGCTACTAATTTCTCACTTCTTTACATTGGTGCCAAAAAGTCCTGTTCTTTCAATTATTGTGTGATACCAAGTTGCCTTGTGTCAATGCTCATCTGTTCATCGTTTTGTAAATCTTCTCATTAACATTATAAAACGCATTATAGCCCCAATTACTTGTATATGAATTGTTACTTTCGTTGTAGATC